GAGGAGGAGGAGGAGGAGGACTTAAGGTGGCCGCTCAGCGTTCCTCCCGCCTTCGTTCCAAATCTTTGTCCCCAGAACCCTCCCTCTATTTATAGGATTCCTAAAAATAGCTCGGGGGAGAAGTTGCCCGTCTGGGAGGGAATCCCATTGGCTCAAGGGTTCTTCACAAGTTCAGGAAAGGGAGGGGACATTTTAGGAGGAGGTGGAAATCCTAATGGATTACGAGGCCAACTTGCGAAGAGAAGCACAACTCTTCTGAACTCCCGGAAGGGGAGCTAAAGGAAGCCAAAGAGACCCGACCCCTGTCCCGAAGACCCGACCCCTGTCCCAATGCAGAGATTGAAACGCCTCTCTTTAAGTCTGCGCTTACTTGGAAACGAGCCCTGTGGAGATCCGTGGGGTTTACTTTCAAATCAACCTGCACAGGATCCACCTTCACGGAATCTCTATGGGAAGTGGGGGGTGGGCTGCAGTGCATTCCTAGTCCTATGGTGAGCGTGCCCCATTAACCCCAGTGATGGCGCTGACTTCAAAGGAGACGTCCATGAGGTTGCTGAACATCTACTCACCTTCTTAGGTTACCTCTCCATGTTCTCAGCTAGTCCTTTTGTCCCTTCACCTGCAAGATCTCAATTCGGCGGCCAAAGCAATCGCAGGGGTGGAGGGAAGGGCGCAACCATAACTACATTTTCTCCTCTTGAAATGCTGAGGGTGGACACGCGGGGGAGGGCGGCGAGGCAAAGGAACAGCAAATGCGCGCCTGCCTAAAGCCCCCTAACCCGCAGGCTGTTTGGAAGTGACGCGGAAGCACGCGCCCCTTTCTCTCCTTCCAGCGCCCGCCGCTGGTTCTTCGATTACCTGCGTGTATTGCAACGTCCACGCTACTTTCTGGCAAGCGCACCAGGAACAGAAGATGGCCAGGCATTCCAACGACGTTTCCCGCTGCGACAGCAAAAGATCCTTGGAGCTTCATTGCTTTTCCTGCCCGTCTACACGGAAGTAACTCCCACTGGTTCCGTTGAGGCTTTGCCCCTGATCAGAGCGTTTGAGGTGACAGCACTACTTCCGTCTAAGCGATTCTTTCTGGACGGCAATGATCCTGACCCACGTGCAGGCATCGGACTCTGACCTTATCTTGTTTCCGACTCAGCTGCAGAAACGGGAGTGTATACAATTTGTTTGTGTGCCTGTAACGGGACAAATACTATTTAGAATCTAGTTTATATATTTTGTCATGCGGCCACACACACTTTTTTTCCCTCCAGATATAATAGCTTCCGTGGGCGGTTTTTTTTTTTTAAAGCAGCTGAAGCGCAACAGGGGGAGAGGGGGAGGCGAGAGAAGTATGCTTCGGGACGTAAATCGGGCTGGGAATGATTGTGCAACTTGTTGAATGCGTTGTCTCTGCTTTAAAAGGATGGACTGGGTGCGTCAATACATTCCTGCCTTTTTACCTGTAAAGTACCTTCTGTAGAGAATACGCCGAGATAAGGTGGTACTTGGGAGGGATGGGTAAAGAAGTCGTACTTCTAGACAGATCACAGATAGGGGGGTGTCCCACGTAAGTTGCCCAGGACTGTTGCAACGTTCGATCTGAAAGCGAACATACCTGGAACATACGCACACCTGTTCCGCTTGGTGTGGAAGCCTAATATGGAAAAAGGCATTCAGGCCCGTGAGAGCGAGACAGAGCGCGCGATGGACTGACAGCGCCGGGAGATTCTTGGATCAGTTTATGACAACAGGGGGGCGGGGGGAGGAAGGGAGTATTCAGTCTTTGTTTACAGTCTCGGATCCCCGGGTGCACCAGCCCAGACCAGGGAGAGGAGACGGAAGGGGGATCGAGGACCTGTCCCTAATTTGGCAAAAGCTGCACCAAGGTGAAGGCAGGCAGCGAGAGCCGTTTCCCACCTTAAAAGCGCCACTCTTGGTGATGTCACGTCGGAAATTTACCAAAGCAAGATCTAGCCAACTGTACCGAGAGATCCAGCCCCTTGACTGGCTGATTGGGCAGACGGCACTGACGTGCACTGACGCTTGGAGACTTGAGGTGCATGTTGGCTGTGCAATACGGAGCCCACATAAACAAAGGCACATTGGAGGGAAGGGCCAGTCTGTCCTGCTTGCTCGCCCCGCGCTTCGCTCGTATTGTACTTCCCGAAGGAGCGAAAGGAGAGCGCGTGTCCGCGCGCGGGCAGAGGCGAGCGAAGCCGAGAGGAAAACGAGAACGAAGGGATCGGCGGCAAGAGGTGCCCCTCCGCTTCCTTCCTTCGCCCGCCCAGCCGCCCTGGGAATCCGAACTGCCAACAGTTGAATGAATGAACGAATGAATGAATGAAAGAGACACGCCACCTAACAAGTAAGTGGATCGCACCGCTGTCTGCGACGGAGAATATATTCTGCCTTCTGACTGGATGATGCACCAATTTTTTCCTTCAGGCAAAGAAAAGT